GTCACTGAGATATAAAAATTCACTCAGTAACGACCTGTGTTGGTCATAAAACCACATATGAATTTTTGGATAACTAATGCGTATCTCTTAAGTGCCAAAATTTAAAACTTGTAATTATTTTTGATGCAGATCTTTCAGATAATAGTATACCTCCCTGCCTTCTTAAACAGCATGCTCAGTATAATTCACTTTTTCATGATGAAAAGTAAAAATTATATTCATAATGTGTTACTACAAAAATCCAGTAAGTTCTGATGTGTGCAAAACACTTCAGGAGATGTAAAGGGCTACCCAAATGAGTTAATATCAGTTATATAGTGATTCCTTTGGCGCTGAGGTATATATAGCCATTTGCCTCAGATTGTTGGTGTTTGGGGTTCTTTTGCTTAAAATTTGCTTTAATCTGCTTAGTAGTTTATTGTCTTTTACCACAGCATCAATTTGCCTGCATCTAACAGGCTCCCCATTTCCTTCGAAAGTGTGTTCATCCATTGTGAGTTGGGACATGACATAACCGAGCCTGCTAAGTGTTTGGAGAGCTAGACAGGCTCTGGGTGCACATTTTTTGAGAACCCTTTTGGTTGCTTGCCAACTCTTTGATAGGTTCACAATAAGCTTCTGGATCACATAAGTTCCCAGATAAAGCCTAGGCTAGTAATTTTTTTCAGTTGCCACAAAGAAAGATATTACCAGCTAAGGATATTCCTTACCAAAATACAGCCAACCAACAAGAAAAGCTCTGTATTTATACAGTATCTTTCATGTTTTTAAGGAAAAAAAAGTGCAGGAGAAAAGAAAAACAATGAAAAATGAAATCCAGATAATTTTTTATATTAAGCTTGGTCAATAACCACTGAACTATATGGCTAAATTATGCGGTTAATGAGTTTCATTGCAGAATAAAACTGTACCAAAATTTATACCCTAAAGATGATTCTTAAGAATTTCACCCAAATCATAATGGAAATTATCAAAAATCTCAAATTTGCCTGTATGCTGCTCTTTAGTTGTAAATGAATTAGTGACAGAAATAAGGGTTTTATCAAAAGCATCTCATGAACACCTATGTATATATGTCACTGTAAACGAACATGTCACTTAGAGATGATAAAATAATTTTTAAAATTTAAATTCGGTCCAAAGTATTTGTAGCTTTCCTAAATTTCTTCCTTGTTTATATTTCATGGTTTTTACATTAAAGGTTAAATATTTGAATTTTAAGGTTCACTGTATCTTCCATTTCCAAACTCTGCTTTCTGGAAAATTTCAGATTCACATTTTCAGCAAATTTGGAGTGTTTCAGATAATATACTAGACACCAGAAAGTTTTCTCACTAGGTTCTGAGGTGCTGTATGTTCTTATGCTAGACTGTAAGCTCCTTGAGGGCAGGGCCTATCTATTTATTCTTGTATTCCCAGTGCCTGGTACAGGATCTGACAGAATAGTTGTTCAATAAATATTTGCTGAATGAATTAAATGAACCACCACCATATTTGACTTCAAGTTCCCATAAAACCAGAATGTGATGTGCAAATTGCTCAGTACTAGACAAGCCTCTTCTACTCAGTCCCACTCCAGGCCTGAGGAGGGTGGTGGCTGCCCCATGTAATGCTAGAGGAAGTACAATGCCACAGGCTTGTTTTCTCTCCTAGCAAGTATTTTTGCAGTATCCTAGGACTCAAAGGCATACTAAAAGAATTAAACAGCTCCTCAATATATTGTTGACATAAAATACTGTGATAAACCCTGTATTTTTTGAACATTTTATTATGAAAATGTTTAAACACACAGCAAAGTTCAAGGAATTTCAGTGACATTCATTCACCAAGGATCTATCATTATTTTACTATATTTTATGTTAACTACTTCTCTACTTCAATTCACCTTAATTTTTAAGAAGTTTTATTTACAATGGGAATGGGAAGAGAGCCCACCTTAATTTTTGGATATATTTGAAATAATATCCATCCTTCTAAAAATCCTTAGCAACAAACATATCATTAACTAAAGGTATTTTTCTCTTGTAATATTTCCACAGGCCAAAGTATACACACATTAACTGCATGGTTCACTAAGTTTAGACAAATACACACCCTTGCTGTGTAACACAAATCCCTATCAAGGTAGACTACCATCACCCCAGGAAATTGCCCCATGCCTCTTCCTTCTTCCCAGAAGCAACCAATTTTTTTTTCCATTACAAATTTTCCTCTTCAGGAATGTCATATTAATGAAACACTATATATTCCCCATAATTTTTAAAAGGCAAATTCCTCAGAAGTCTCAGAAACGGAGTAATAGTGATGAAGAATGTATCTGCAGCGATGCTATCATCATTCACTGGCTGTTACAAGAACCTCTAGTCTGGATGCAAAGAGCAGAAGGCAGTCCCTTGTCTTCCAGGAGTCCCTATGTTGGCAGGATCAGAGGATGAGACCAACATCACAGGCCACAGAGCAGATCTACTTCAGCCTGGCTACCGTGGCAGGGAACTGGGAGGTTTTAACATTTTAACTAGAACTCGTCTCAGGCAGTAAACGTTCCATGTTTCCCACAAGTCAAGAATCTTGTAACTCAAAATGATCTGTCCTAAAAAGGGCAGTTTTATAATCCTGAGCAGACAGAAGGCAAATCTGCTAAATAAAACAAGAAAATTATAAAAGGCACAAGTTGAAATTATTAGGGATTCTGTTTTTCTCTACTTTGAGTTAATATAAACTCAAATATATTTAGTATTGCTTCCAAACTACTGGACAAGCAGAAACTTTGAGAAGCTCTCACCTTTAGCCCTCCGTTTGCTTTAGATTCCTCAAAGCAGATCAAACATGTTATCTACAAGACCAAGCCCTCACCCCTCTTTTTACTCTTCACTTTCATATTTTACACATAATTTACAAATAAAAAAAAATTGGGTTCCACACATAATCATCTTTCCTACTGTTTGTCCTTTTTAAAAATATTTTTTTAGTGAGGAGCCAAGAAAACCTGGCAATTTGTTTAATCACTCTTCCCCTAGGAAACTATGAAAGAGGTAAAGAAAATCCTGAGGCTTCCTTCTGGAGGGAAAGGAGAAAACTATAGACAGGAGCCACCTATTACTAGATTTGTATCTTGGGAGAGAAATGAGCTTTTCATTATCATTTGAAACAAATAGGAAACATCACATTAAGTACAGTCCCACTTTTTTTTTTTAATATTTACTGAGTGCACAAATAATTGCTGATAGTGGCTGAACCAAATGACTAGTTGATTCCCGAACAGTACCTGAACTGAATTGCTTCTGATAAAAGGTAGAACAACTATAGAAGTGGTTTGCTGCCATCACAGCTCCTGTACAGTATCTAAGAGTGATCAGCACTTTTTTGGGAATGCACTTCCTGTCAACCTCATCCCCCCCCCCCCAATTTCAATTTCATAAAAGTGCCAGGAGGGGTAAGAAAAATGGAGAAACTGTATTTGAATCCTGACTCATGCACATTTTCTTTGGTCTCAAATCAGCTGGTGGTAGATACACGAGAGAATAAAAGCCTTATCATCTAGCTCATAAACAAGTATGGATACTCCTACCCAAATTCATACATTGAAGTCCTAACACCCAATGTGACATTATTGGGAGACCCGGCCTTCAGGTAAGTGCAATCATTGTAATAGGTAAGTACTGTGAATGGCACGCACGTGGCAACATAAGCACACACAGGGCTCAATCCTGCAAGCCTGAGCCAGCTGAGACCTGAAGCCTCAGTAAGCTTCTGGGTACATGGGGGGGGGGGGGCGGCGTGCTCCTGGCAGAGGAGGTGCAGGCTGGGAAGCACAGGGAACAGAAGTGCCGATCACTGGAGGCAAGAAACCACAGGGACTGCGGGGAGGGAGGGTAGATTTATCTGGAGATGACGAGGCAGAGTCGTGATCATTTTGTTAGAAAAATTACTCACAGGGCCCTCCCTGGTGGTGCAACAGGTTAGGGTACAGCACTGGGAGGCTATCCACAACCACTGCAGCTCGAATTCAATCCCTAGTCAGGGGACTGACAAGGGCGCAGCAGACCTCTCCTTTCTTCCCCGCCCTCTGCTCCCCGCAGCAGTGTACTTCGTCATTCTGCCTGTTCTGCTCCCCGCACTCTCTGGTGAATCCTCTCACCGCCCCTGCATCTCTGGCCTGTACCCCAGTTCTGTATGAATAAATAAATCTTTAATAAAAAAAAATTACAACAATGAGAAGGATGAATTGAAGGGAGATGAGAAGTTAGACTCACACTAGCAATTTCAGATGCTAACTGGACTTAGGAGCCAGTATCTTGGAGATGGAGAATGGGCTGCAGCCCCAATCTTTGCCTGTTACACCCTGATGAAAGCTCTCAGCAGTCTCCCTTACAGTGGCCACAGTCTCTCTTACAGTGGCCACTGCAGAGAACCACAATGGCATTTCACCAGGTGACATGCAAAACTGTCCCTTGATCAATTCTATCTACTCTATCACTAAGATGACTTTCTCCCCTCAACTGGGATTTTGGAAGTGTTCTATGGCAACTACTTCATCGCCTATCTGTTCATCAGTCAACATCAACCATTCCGATAGACACAAGTGAGCACATACACCAACAGCAGAGCTGCTAATTTCACATAGGCAAAGCAGAAAGGGCCCAGCTATGAAGATGAAAGTAGGTGTCAACACAGTGAAATAGCACCAGATCCAGCTTGGGGACAAACGTGACATCTCAGCAGAGATGGCTGGCGGCTGCGTTTACCAAGACAATTCATACTCCACAGGCAGGTTTGCTTGATTTGAGAAAAATATAAAATGCTTTGCAGTCAAGCTCTGTGGAAAATTCACTTATCTGAAACCCCTCCTGACAAGCCTAGACTGAGAGGGAAGGACTGATCCACCTACAGCTACCAGGGGAAACTGCCTGTCAGGGCTGTGCCAAGACTGATCGACTGATGGCCACACAAAAAGCACCAGGACGAGAAGCTAGCAGCTAAAGAGAAGACCGAATACGATGGACTTGAAAAAACTTTATTCCACACAGAATTACCAGAACAAAAGCACGTTAACTCTGAAACATAACATTTCATTTCAACTCAATCACAAAACTCAGTTATCAAACAGAAATAGCTTCGTGTGCTTACCCACTTTCCGCCGAGGGGACTTGAAAAAAAGCAAACAAGTAGAGGACACCTCCTCCCAATGTATTTTGGGAACTATTTAGGTGAGCAAATACTTACTATTAAGCAAAAAAGACAGCATTAAAAACAACAACTCCTCAAGTGTAGAGAAAGCCTATTCAAGTCTTTGATATGCATATATATGCACAATGAGAAAATAAATATTTAAATTGTGAAGAAACCCAGTCTGAGTTCCTACCCTCAGTCTCCTGTCTCGCCTTCAATCTGACAGCACAGCAGGCCCCTTCCACCGCAGTCCTTCAACAGTGAACCATCTCAAACGTCCCATTTACCACCCATTGTTTTCATTGTCGGATTCAGAATTTCAGGTCTCCAAAAATGATTATATGTACACAATTCTGTTTTATTGCACAGTTCACAATATATAGCAGGTGATTATAGAGCCAACCATAGGTAAGATGAATGTTGAGACATTCAAATGTCTCCAGCCATGAATGAGGCAAATAAAAACCTCAAACTTGCCAGCATGGAAAGGCTGTGTTTGTTCTGTGGGTGCAGTCCTGAGGGCTCATACCACCCCTAAGTGTGTGAGAGTCCGTAATGTATTTTTGGTGGCATCAGACAGGAAGTACAGGAGGCAAGAATGAAAATATCCCATGTCCACGAGCAGTCTGTGCCACCTATACACCAGAAAGGCTACTACTAAAGCTTTTCAAATAAATGATTTCATCATATTTGCCTTTTCAAAATTTGTACCATACTGGTTTCACACTGAAGGTAAGAACAGTAAGTAGAATGTCTTAGTAACACATTTTGAACTTATTTTAAAGTCCAGAGAAAGCTACTGGCTAACACAGTTCTTCTGAATTTTTCTATAAAATTTAAGAACTCTACAGGACAACATAAAGCTGTCCCTGGTAATATCTGCAGTTTGGTCTTTCTTCAAAAGCTGTAAAAAGTGACAAAGAAACCCAAAAATGTTAGGAGTTAAAACCATTTAAAATATTTATTGTTTTGAAATGCCACGTATTTGAGACAGCAGAAACCAAAGCACCTCTTTCAAATGCTCATGTCACACATCTCACAAAGTGCTTTAAAATTAGACTCCTAACATCTCCGTGGAGTGTACAGACAAAGGGAGCTCTGCAGAGACCCAGGGGCCGTTCCCAACGCAGGGCGTGACCCAGTCAAACTCACCTGCCTTGTGCCCTGTGCTGAGCACCCAGACACGCCCCGGAGTGTTCAGGGATACCCCCACACGCAAGTGAATGAGGGAGTTGGGCACCACAGCCCCTTAGTCATTCATTTCTGAAACTTAGCCTGCTTCAAATCCTGACTTGCATTATTTGGTGTTGTTTTCTATAACCCTTAGATCTATCTGCACCTTGGTTTCTAAAGTAAACTGTCGTTTCCAACACTCCACTGTCAAGCAGGCCTGTTATAAAGCTATTGAGTTTCATCACTGCCTGGCAAATGCTTAATGCTTCCTGATCCTTTACACTTGAAAGAAGCCATCCTGCATGTAGAGGTAAACATCTTTTTTTGGACTATCTGCTCAGAAACTGAGTAAACCACCAGTTGAGATGCTGATTTTATTTTGGTCAGTATGTGCATATGTTTATATGCAATTACCCAAAAGGATGAAGAACTGGAACTAGAAACCCTTACTACTCTGCCATACCAGATGCTGGAAAGCAATCTTAATAATATCATAGTCACCCACGTGGGTGTGTAAAGATAAACCACCTTTTCAGGATGTTTCACATTTTATTACTCAATTAGTCTGATCATGTTCTATCTGGAAAAATCACTTTAAAATCAGATTTACTTTTGATAAATTTTTGTTTGTCAGCTAAGGGGTAAGTATGATAATTACTACAACCAATTTCTACCATTTAAAATTAAATCTTATCCTCTTAGCATGTCCTGAGAGGACATGATCTGTCTTCTAATTTTAATAGAAAAATGGGTTCCCAAAATTCAAATAGACACCTCTATTTCCAAGAGTAAAGTTAAAAAGCTGACAGCTAACACCATAGAATAAAAGCCTTTGGGTCCACCACGCCCCCTTAACACATTTATAAACCAGGACACAAAAATCTGGGATTCTATTAACAGACTTCCAAAATAAGGCTTTGTGGAAGTGTTTCTGTTTTAAAAGGAGCATCAAGACAAGATACTTGATTGTGACAAACTATTATGCAGAGGAAAAAACCAAAACCAAAATTTCTTTGCTAAGTTGGTGATAAAGTTAGTCTAAACAAAATTTGATCTATATGCAATACAGAATGTAACAATGAAACATCTATAACAAAAATTTAGATCTCACCATCTTTTTGGCAATGAAGAAAGTGAAATTACTATTTTGGAAAGATTTAAGGTCACATTTGGAACTAAACAGAAAACCTTCAAGCCTAGAGAGTAAAGAGGAAACTTTCACTAGCTGTTTGAGTTCACCACAGCTAAACAGAAAGTCTGGAAAATGGCAATTACAACAGGTGTTTTGTTTTAAAATGAATACAAGCAATTTACTGTGAGATGACTATGCCTAGGCAAGCTGTTTTTCTCCTGTGTTCTGCTCCTCTCTTCTACTATATATGTTTAACAAAGACCTTTGCAACTCCTCCTAAGAGCCAAAAAGCAAGAAATGGAGTTACAGAAGTAAGCCTAAGAATTCATAGGGCTCTAAGAGTCTTTCCTACAGCTGGTCATAGCCATTTATGTTTCAATATAGAAGGTTTAAAGACTGGGGCGGGGGGGGAGGTGAAAGGGGGGTTTTCTATCTTGGCTATTAGTTTCCTTGTCAAAGGTTACCAGATAGACTGCCATTAACCAGGCTATAAGCCTAAAGTTCTCAGACGACTTGGAAAAAAAACCCAAAACCAAAAACCCTTAAATTTTCCTATTGAAACCTTTTATTCTGAATGTTGGTGCTTAAGGAAAACAGCTTTGCCCATAGTTCACTGTGCCCTGAATTTATGACACCAACATGTGTTTGGCCAATAAGGAACGAGGTCAATTGCATTCTTCCGAGAAGATCTACTCAGCTGAAAAATGGCACTTAACTGATGGTTTCTTTCATATAACCTTTAACAAGAACTCATAAGTCGCATTGATTATGCCCCAAGAGATGAGGGATCGGTGGTAATTCAGATGGGCACCTCTGAAAAGATTTGTCAGTTTCTTGTCCCGTTCTAGCCAGATTTTTCTGAAGACCTTGGGGAAAGACTGAAATTCCCCACCAATCTGAGACTGCATACGCGCTTTTACAACATTAATTGGAAAAAACAAGATTCCCAGCATGGCACCCAACAGACCTCCACAGATAAAATCATTGACCAAATGAGCACTGTGAGTCGTTGCAGTAGGCAGGTGCTCCTTAATGGGACCTCGAAGGCCAAAAAAAAAGACGTTGCTGAATCCATTTCGGAAAAGAACAGGCACCAAGCCTCGATAATACTCTCTAATTCCATGGCATTTCAGGGCCTTAAAAGCCTGATAGGTGTTTGTAAATTTGTCATGATGCTTGTGGTCCTGAAGCAATGTCTGAACTCTCTCCAGTGGAGTGAAAACAGCTTCTGTTGTCCCTGCAAGTACTGCCGCCATGCTCCGGATTGCAAACTCTGGGGTATTGACATGCTTGCGGAGAAGGCAAGATAAATCCTCGTACAGACCAAACATAAGTGCCAGTGTAGTTGTCTTCTGCATTAGTGGGGGCAGGATTCCACGATACAAGTTTCGAAATCCATCCCTCTTCAACTGAAGTATTGCATCCCTGGTTTTGATTCCATACAGCTGCTGCCGAAAGAGGACCTTTTGCATGGGATACGTGATTGCTACATTGTTGAAAGCTGCACAGCAGCCACAGAAGTAATGCTTTATTTCACCAACATGTGCGATATGAGGTGACAGCTCTTGATTTGAAGACGTCAGGAGTGACGGTGACCTCTTCTCATGCGCTTCTGAATCCATCATGTTGCTTAAGATCTTTCTTCTTCGTGAAGAATTATTTTAACCTACAAATAATAAATGACAATCGGTAAACCTTTATAGGTAGTGCTCAGTATTTCTTCAAAAACGTTTTCAGATGGCCACTGGAGGTTCCTGAGATCCTTTTAGGGATCCAGCAGGCCCTCCCTATTCCAGGCTATATGAGGTTGCGTTTTCTGCGTGTATATACTTCGACCAAAACAGCTTATCACCACCGACCAAATGAACATGCAAATAGGAGACACCACCCATCTTTTAAGCCAGCTGTTAAAGAGACTTAAAAATACAGTACAATACTCTTCTCAATTTTTTTGAAAATAGTTATTTTTCATTAAAATGTGATTTATGTTAACTGTAATCAGCTCATCACTGTCTTTTTTTTTTTTCATTCATTAATTATGTTTCCATGTCTTGGCTATTGAAAACAGTGCTGCGGTAATAACCATAGGAGTGAAGGTTTCTTTTGAACTTACTGTTTTTGTATCCTTTAGGTAGGTTTTCAGGAACTGCTGCATCATATGGCAGATCCACTATGGTCATTTTAAAGCAAGTAATTATTTAAAATTTTTGTCCAACTTAAAAAAAAAATCTCTATCCATGCATACAGAACTGGGGTACAGGCCAAAGGCACAGGGGAGGTGAGAGGATTCACCAGTGACAGAGTGGGGAGCAGAACAGGCAGATGGATGAAGTACACTGCTGAGGGGAGCAGCGGGCGAGAAAGAAGAGGTCTGCTAAGCCAAAAGTGTCACCTCTTGGGCTGGGATCAAACTCGCACTGAAACGGCTGTGGCTGGCTCGCAGCTGCTCCACCAGGAAGGGCCTTGTTCCAATTTTTAACGTCATGAGTATTAAAGCTACACAAAGAAGGTTTCTTTGGGGCGCACAATAATTTTTAAGTGTAAAGGGGTGCTGAGGCCAAAACATGTGAGCACCATTGCAGAGTTCATAAATATTGCCTACACCACAGAATGGCATTTACCATCAGCCTTCTGAAACAGATTCAAAGTCCGTCATGAGAAATAAAGTAGCAAAGCATGAAGCATCCATTCTAGGCCCCTCATTAAACTGCTAGAGATCCAAAGGCAAGGAGCGTGCAATCCAACAGGAGATGCTGCCACAGAACAATTGTTACACGGTGGGAGACCTACTATGCACTGTGGGTCATAAGGAAGGACACCGGGCGTGATTCTTGGGAGGTGGGCGCTGGCAGAATGCTATCGCGGGAGGCCTGCAGGTATGTACTATGCACTGTATTTTCATAAATTTAATTCTCAGCTCCATAATATAAACACTTTCTCCAGTTTTACAAAAGAAGAAAGCAACACCCTATTCCAAGGTACAGCAAGTCACATATGGAGCTGGCGTAACGAAACCCTGACTCCAGGGTTTATGTCCCCGTCATACCACAGATGCAATGACTTTTTGGAGCTGCTTGGGACAAAAAAAGAGAAGCTACACTAGACCTTAATGAACAAGATTCAAAGCTAAAATACAAAGGCTTATCCTACTGAAACTAAAGCAAAGTTTTTACCCCTGGAAGACATAAAAAATATCGCAGTCATGTGAGTCTAGTCCCTGCAATCACAAAGATCCACAGAGATGGATCATCTAGAACAATTCCTATTTCCCAGAGACCAGTCCCAGAAATCACCTCATTTGGGGATTAAATGGTAATTCGATTATATATTAGATCTCTCAAGCTAAATATTTTTAAAATATTTATGTATGTATGTATGTATGTATGCATGCATGCATGCATGCATGCATGCATGCATACAAGAACTGGGGTGCAGGCCAGAGGTGTGGCGTTGAGAGTAATCACCAGACAGAACAGGGAGCAGAACAGGCAGATCAATGAAGTAACACTGCTGAGGGGAGCAGCGGGCAAGACAGCAGAGGTCTGCTGTGCCATGTCGGTCAGCTCCCTGGCTGGGGATAGAAGTCGGTGCTGCAGTGGCTGTGGCCAACTTCACAGTGCTGTGCTTTAACCCTTGTGCCACCAGGGAGGGCCCTCAAGTTAAATATCTTAAAATTGATTTTCATTCTGAAACATTAAAAGACCACATTTAAATATAGCTCAGCAACAACAAAAAATTAAGTTACCTAAAAACTGAGCAAAGGATTTAAATACATTTCTCAAAAAAAAAAGAGAGAGAGAGTGAGAGAGAACCCTTGCTGGTCGTTTAAAGCACAGCACTAGGAAGCTATTGCAGCCACTGCAGCATGAGTTTGATCCCCGGCCAGGGAGGTGACCCATACACATGGCAGACCACTCCAGACCTGCCCGCTGCTCCCCTCAGCAGTGTACTTCAGGCCATCTGCCTGTTCTACTTCCCACACTTGTGTTTGGTGAATCCTCTCACACCCCCCTGCACCTCTGGCCTGTACCCCAGTTCTGTATGCACAAATAATTTTTTTTTTAAAAAAAGGGATAAACTAGTGGCCAACAAGCATATAAAGACATTTAAATTATAAATCAGATAAATACAAATCAAAATCACAATGAGATTACTATATACCCATTAGGTTGGCTACTGGGGGGTGGGGGAGAATAACCCAGAAAGTAAGTTGGTAGGAATACAGAGAAGCTAGAACTGTTGGTAGAAATATAAATGATGTAACCACTATAGAAAGTAGTACGGTAGTTCTTTATAAAAATAAACATCAGGGCCTGCCTTGGTGGCACAAGGGGTTAAATCTCAGCACTATGAAGCTATCCATAGCCACTGCACCACAAGTTCAATTCCTGGTCAGGGAACTGACCTATACGGCATAGCAGACCTCTCCTGTCTCACCCACTGCTGCCCTCAGCAGTGTATTTCAGTAGATCTGCCAGTTCTGCTCCCCACTGTCTCTGACGAATCATCTTATACCCCGCCCCCCTTCCACACACACCTCTGGTCTACTCCCAGCTCCTATATGCATAAATAAAATCTTAAAAAAAAAAAAAACTTAAAAATCAAACTATCTTTTGATCAAGCAATCCCACTTCTAAGTTTACATGCAAAAAGAATTGAAAACAGAATCTCCAAGAGATATTAAACATCCACATTCATGGCAGCACTAATCACAATAGCCAAAAGGGGGAAACAGCCTAAATGTCCACCCATGTATGAATACATAAACTAAATGTGGTATATGCATACAATGGAATACTGTACTTCCTTTGAAAGGGGACTCTTATCACGTGCTGCAATATGGATGAAACTTGGGGACATTAAGCTAAGTGAAATAAACCAGTTATGAAAGGTCAAATATTGTATGATCCCATTCACATAAAGTACCTAAATTAGTAAAATTCACAGAGAAAGTAAATAGTGGTTACCAGGAGTCAGAGAAAATACAAAGGGAAACTTATTTAATGGGTATAGTTTCAGTTGTGCAAGGAAAAAAATTTCTGGAGAGCTGTAAAGCATACTTAACAGTATCAAACTGTATACTTAAAGATTACTAAGGTGGTAAATTTCATGTTGCATTTGTTACCTTTTAAAAATGACCGCATGTAAGGAATTCAATGGTAAATGAATAAGACAAAACAGATCAGATGAACCACCAGGACCAAAACTCCCTAGTCGTACTGGACAAACAGTGCTGTAAAATGTCACACATTCAGGACAAAAGATGTCAAAGAGAAATGTACTGCATGAAAGCAGAGTACAGAGCTGAGGCAGAAAAGATTCAAGAAAGCATCAGTTTTAAGGAACCTGTATATCAGCAGGAGCCACACACTGTAATAATGCAACACAATGAAACAAAGACCTGTAACAATCATGTTTCCTTCTAAAAATATAGCCTAAGGGGAAAATTATCATGGCAGGACAAAATAATGCTCTTCATTTAAAAGGCTGAATATAATAAAAACCAATTACTCAACAATAGTCAATGCATAAATGAAGATGGATCTGTCTGGATGGCATATAGGTTTTTTAAATAAAGGGCTATCGAGGGTTGATTTATTAATTTTAATTTTTTTGAGTTAATGAAAATCAGCACTGAGTCCTTTTTTAATCAATAAACAGAATTAAGGGAAAAAAGTAAGGAGACTACTTTTTACTGACATGAAACATTATGACACAAGCTAAAACGAGTTGCTAGTATTTTCTAATTTCATATGCTTTTCCTACTTTATATTGTTCAAGTTAAATGTGTCCCAATTTGTTCAATGCTGTTCAAAAGTGAGAGACATGACACTGATGAAAGGTCAACAGCGACAGATGAGATAGCTCCAAACTGCTTTATCGCTTTCAGGCTGTTTCCACACAACACCCTAGGTGAATGCTATATGCCCTAATGCTATTTAGGCATTACAGTGAGCACTACAATCAGAGCTGGTTCCATAACTGTCTTCCCTTTTGTTTCATTCCTCCCTAAGTTGTCAATAAAAATGTTTTTTAAGGGGCCTCCCTGGTGGGGCAAAGCCTCAGCACTATCAAGCTATTGCAGCCACTGCTACAAGAGTTCCATTCCTGGCCAGGGAGCCGACTCACATGGTCTTGCCCACTGGCCCCTCAACAGTGTATTTCAGTAGCTCTATCTGCCTGTTCTATTCCCACCCTACTGTCTCTGGTGAATTCTCTCACCACCACCCCCACCTCCAGCACACACCCCAGTTCTTGTATGCATAAATAAATAAAAATAAATCTTTAAAAATGCTTTCAAGGCCCTCCCTGGTGGCGCAACAGGTTAGGACGCAGCATTGCAAGCTGGCTACAGCAGCTTCAGTGGGAGTTCAATCCCAGGAGGTGACCACATGGTGTGGCAGACCTCTCCTGTCCCACCAGCTGCTCCCCTTAGCAATGCACTTCATTGATCTGCCTGTTCTGTTCCCCGCTCTGTCTCTGGTGAATCTTCTAACTGCCCCTGCACCTCTGGCCTGTACCCAGTTCTGTATATATAAATAAATGAATCTTTAAAAAAAAATTTTTTAACAAAAATAAGTAAATAAATAATGTTTTGAGAGGGCCCTCTCTTGTGGCGCAGTGGGTTAAAGCACAGCACTAAGAAGATAAAGTCACTTCAGCACG